TTTAATTTAATTAAACGAAGCACAAAATCAACTTGCTTAATTTTAATAGTGATTGGAAATTTTACTTGAATAAATCATAGGAATTTTTAAGAGGTTGACTTAAATTTTTTGGTTTTCAAAATAAGAAATTTCAAATTTCACCTCCATCCAAAAGTTCATTTTCTCGGAATGACATTTATTACTTTTTAATGAGCAATCTTCATCCCAGAAAATGTCCCACGTGGCTGTCATTAAGTTGGCCCCCAAAAAACCTGGGCCCACGAGTCAGTAAAACTTGCAACACTTGCACAAACTTTTCAGCAACTTCGAAATGAACTCGATAAAATGGCCAAATCATGGTGGAATTCGAGGACATCCTTGGCAGGATTACCGCAGCAGTCATAAAGGCAAATGATGGCTAAATAAAAATGCTAAACTACAGTTGCCAACTCATGCAAACGTCGTGTCCTGTCTGCGTTTAAATTACTTCTTGGTGGCCAGTGGTCGTTGGATGTGGATGATGTGGATGGGATGGGTGACCAGGATGAGCAAGTGCCACATGACCACAGAGTGGGCTCAAAGTCGAGCTGTGGTCTGCCCCCTTCCAGGAACTTGAGCGCCAGACCGAAGACAAACTTAAACTTCAGGAAAACTTTGGTTTTTGCTAACATGCTGCGGCTGAGAAAATGTCGCCAGCAGGAAAACTTGTCTAAAATGTTAAGCTGCACTAGGCTTAAATGGTAAACAAAATGGGGAATGTAACGAAGATTTAAATACCTTTGTTAAAGTTTCTGTAAAGATTGTGCATTAGCCTGATTACTTTTTCTATATTATGGAATTTACCATTAATATATTATTTTAATACAGCATCCTATTTTGAGTTAAAGGTATTAAACAAATCCTTTTACAGAGAAGTTTTTAGCAAACTTTTAAATAAATTTCTAAAAAAAACCTTTAATAAACTGGAATATTTCCAAAAATGTTAAGAAAATAATAAATTAATTCCCAACCAACAAATAATTTGTTAAAAACATATACATAAATCTATAAAAATATACACCATTGAACGGCAAATCCCCACACAATAAAATTTGATTCAGTAGATTCCATAACTTAAATTCGTTTGGATAACAGTTTTCCATTCATAAAATCTCAATGCTTTCCGGAAATCCAATTCAGAATACAAAACAACAATTTCCACGAGATGCTAAAATCCATTGCAATATAACTAAAAATTTCCCTTTTTCCGTTTTTTTTTTTCTTTTGCCGGAAGCCCATCCAATAATCCTTTGTGCATACTGAAAGCAAACAAAACTAATTTCTTTTTTGTTTGTTTTTGGCTTTTACTTGCAAGCTGGGATTTTCGCGCTAAGCAGAAAGTGGCGCATAAGTTGAGTCGCTAAATAAATCAGTTTATGCATCTACAAATGGAGTTTCGAATGCAAATCCTTTTGCCAAGTGAAAAGGATTTTCAGACAGCATCCTTGGGCGTGTTTACCCTTCAGTTGCCTCCCGTTTCAGACAATTTGAAGCGCTAAAGAGACCGCGGGGAAAGACTAAGACAATTGTCGATCCGCTTCGACGCTTCGAGCCGGAAAAATCTTTTCCCATTTTGCCATCCGAGACTTTGACATCTCCACTTGCATGCGAAATGAAAATCCTGCTTTTTGCTAATTGGCGGATAGACAAACTTAAGTTTCACCAATGAGATTAGCCTGGCTCCGAGTTTTAAGTTGTTTTTAAGTTTCACAAACTTTGAAGCCGAACTTTGAGCTCTTTCAGGAATTGTGAATTTTTTATAGTGCATAAATTGTTCACAAATAAGTTTTGAGTGGATAGAAAATGTTTGAGAAAAAGTGGATGAAATTATTGTTGTTGTAAGAATGTTTTAGCGCCATTTTTTCAAGAATAAATTGCAAGAAGTTTTTCTAATTTGTAGTGCATTTTATTCCAAGTTTGTGGAAAACTATAAAAACAGTTTTGTAGTGTTTATTAATACCTATCCAAGTGTAGAAGACATTGGACCATTCGTTAAAAAGCAGTTCGTTTGCTGCATGTATTTACTTAAAGCCTTTTATAATAGTGCATTTTAAACCAAACTGACAAGCAATTTGTCTGTTTTTTTCCCACTGAAGGATGTCCCAATCTGTCCTTTTTATCGCCTCTTAAAATCTCCGCGGACCTGCCAATATTTGCCCAGTCTTAGAAATGCACAGCGAATGGCATCGCGTGACAGGATCCTCTTTCCATTTCATCCCGCAGGCTGTCGGCGCAACTAATCCAATAAGTTCCACTGGCACCATCCTAATGAGCCATTCTATTTGCCTGGCCCCCAGTTGAGTCGAATTCTCCTCCCGATAGTTCCTTCAGCCCAAAGGCAAGAGCATCCACATCCGGTTGCTGGAGGATAAACTTTTCTACGCCGCCTTCCGACGGAGGCAAAAGTTACATTTAATGAACCATCAGGACACACCACTCCGGGCATCCTGCCGAAGGAATGGCGAAGGGGGAAAGGGCAAAGGGATAGACAATCCCCAGAAGTTAACTTGCAATTTTGCATGTCGCGCAATTAGGCAAAAGTTAAATTGCTTGTCATAAATGTAGAATTTGCAACACAAAAATTGACTTAAGTGAGTGCAGGAGCTTCAGCTCGAAATAAATTTAAGCGGCTTTTGAATTTAAATTGCACTCATAAGCGTCGTAACTCCTTGAGCTGTAAAAAGCGCTGAACCACGCCCCCTTGGCGCCCACACCGCCCGCAGCCCCCGCCCATAAAGATTATGAAAAGTCGTAAAAGGCCAAAAATATGAATGCGATAGTCATAGTCTGAGCGGGTCCCGAAAATGGCTCAAATAAAATAAAACAGCAGACTCATGCAGAAAAGTCAGCGTCGCCAACATTTTGTGACATTTTCCGCTGTCAGCACGCGGAAAATTCTAGAGTGGCGGCGGGGGTTTTGATGGGTGGTACACTCGAAAAAAAACCACCCAAGAAAATGTATCAAAATTTCAGGGACTTAGCTTCAAAATTATATATTTTAAACTTTAATTGAGGATTGTTTACTAAGAAACCTTTAAAACTTTAATAAATTAAAGTCGAAGTACATCATAATTGCTTATCTTTATTTATTTGATTATTTTGTTTTATTTAAACTTCTAATTTAATTTTGTTTGTATTGTTTATTATACGAGTATTTATAATTTTTACACAAATATTGTTTATATATTTTATAAAAACAATTACAACATATTTATAATTTATATTTGTATGGTTCCTGTTTTTATTAATCTTAGCCTAAACTTTTTCTAGTGTCCTTGTGGTGTTTCCTAAACTCTGGAGAAAGGCTTAAAATATGCGCCGCTGGCTCAACATTTTGTCATATTTTCCTGCTTAGCCGCTACAAGAAGCTGGCTTCATTATAGAACAGCTTGAATCTTCCTGCATAAAGTATGAAATTAAAATGCTGTCCAAAAAGGAAAAAAAAAACTAGTGACAGCAAAAGTTGGAAAGCGTTGGAAAAAGTGGAAAATAGAAACCAACAGAGAGCAAGCATTTTTGTTGACTTGTTGGTGGCTCTGGTTTGTTGTATGTTTTAGGGGCATGTTTTTAGGGGATGAGGGGTAATGGTTGTAGGGGGTGTAAAGAGGAGGCTTAGGTCACACCTGTGTCAGTGTGTTGCTGTTGTGTTAAAGTTGAAACTTAATGTGTACAGCTTGTCGGGGGCATTTTGCAGCCCCAAAGTCATGGTTAGTTGAACTTTTCATTGTTGCCCTGAACAGTGGCTTTAGTGTGGGAATTGTACGTCTCAAAGTTTTAGGAACATTTGGAAAAGGAATATTAAATGAGCTAGAAATAATAGTATTTAAAGACACCAGAACATCTCTTCGATTTCGCAATTCAACCGCAATCAAATACTTAAATACCCAAAATATTATAATTATAAATTTAAAAATCGACTATCTTAAAGAGAAAACTATAAAAGCTTAAGTTAAAAATTCCTTAATCCAATAACATTTTTTTACCGACTGCAATTTAAGTTGACATCTCCGACCTGCACAACATGCTGATATTATTTCTCTGAGAAAAATAAACTTACGCACCGAATATGCAAGAGGCACAAACCGGAGGCGGCAATAAAATGCCAAAAGGTATAAAAATAAGGGGAGACATCAACAAACTTGGTCAGCCTGTGTTTTCAGAATATCAGATGGTTTACAGCCTTTGTTTATTTATGGCGGAACCGGAGATCCAGGAGAGCCCGCCTACCATTTCGGGGCACCACTCAAATTAAAGGACCCACAAAAAATGAGATTTTCGAAACAACATTCCCGGGCGGACAGGAAAAGCTTTCACCTGCAATTTACCCGGTTGCACTTGCCATAAAACGAAAATTTCATTAGGCCTACCAGGCAAAAAAAACATAGGAAAAATAGGAGAAGGGAAAATAATAGAGCACGAGTCCTTCACGACGATTAGGGTTGCCGCCCATTTCGCATTTTTTGTAGTACTTGCTGGCCGAGTATTTTGCCGTAAATTCCGAACCATTTCCATTTTGCACAAAACGTGACTGAGTTTTCCCAGCCCCGCCCCCCGCTTTTTGGAAAATCCCCGCCCATTGGCTTCCGTTTTTCCGGAGCCTCCGGCGGGGGGAAACTGTAAATAAATTTTATTTTTCGGTCCGCCAGCAAAGTGCATGGAAAGGTCCGGAATACGGATTGCCGGATAGAAAAGTGCGGGCCCCGAAGCCTTAAAAATGGAAACTTTATCTGCATTTAGTACATAAATAATCGAGGGCTCCGCTCCGAGGATTTCGGGAGGTGAAAAGGCTTTTGGCTGCACTCGGGATGATATTGCAGTGCTAATTTGTTTAGGATTGATGGACTAGCATTTGGCCTGAATGGGCTGGGAACCCTGATTAATCGAAATCTTTCAGCAGGTTATGGATTTGCAGTCCGGTGTTTTCACTAAGCGAGAAAATTGCATTGAAAAAAAGAGTCATTCTGTAGTAAGTTAGAGGTAAAATGAAGCCATTTGTGGACATTTATTTTACTGAAGAGCCATTGCCGCTTGAGGAGCAATTTAATAAGGTGAACCAACCTTTGAAGAGAACTCTTTATGGCAGCCCGCTGAAAAATCAGGTGCGTACATATGTGCAGCTTTTGGTTTATCTATTTTTTGCTAAGATGACTTGCAAAATTGACACCAAACTGAAATTCCCATTAGAATTGTTATTAATGCAATGCAATGATTTGCTGGTTTTCATTAAATTAATTTTCTGCGAATGTCCCAATAATTAAGCAAATATTTATGCTTTTGATTAAACATATAAATCATTTTTTATTATTGCTTGTTAGAAATATGAACTGAAAAAATGTTGATTTATGGAAAAGTTGTCGATTAAACAAAATTATATCGGTGAATAGTTTTTATTAAGTTGATATTTTTGTGGCTGACCAGTGGGCTTATAAATATTTTATTATTTTAAATAATTTGTTTTGCCAAAATAAGAATTTAATTTTTTTATTATCAGCATTTTTAATTCTAGATTAACAATTACGCGAAAATATGTTATTTTATATAGCTCGGCTATAGAAACCTATACAATTTTTTTTGTTTAATACTCCATCCTTATTTGACAGGATTTAGATAACCATATGGATTCAATGGAAAACGAAGAGCGAACTCCTCTTTTAAACTCTCAGAACTTTAATAGCGTGTATGGATCATCATCTTATAGCTATAACGACGATTTTGAATATTTTCCGGACCTTAGTCAACCGCTGCCTAATATTTCCTTTCGTGAGCAACTTCGTTTAACTGCAGTGAATCGCGGCAAAAACCTCAGCTGGCAGCGCAGTCATAAGAAGCGTCTCGAGGAAATTTGGCTATCCCAATTTTCCATGGATATTTTGAGAGACTAAACCTTGAAAAACGTATATCTAGTCGAAATTATGTGTGTTAAGCTCTTGATAACTTTTTTTCCCATTAGAGAATTTTTCTTACGACGTTGATGGATGGCCATGGAAGTAAATACCTCTTCCGATTTCAACATTTGATTGATAATCCCTTTCAAAAGTGTTTCAAATATTCAAAATAAAATGATTATACTATTTTTAGCAATAGTTCAAAGATCATAAAAATCAGACTCTCATATTTATTACTTGGTTCTTCAAAAAGTGGAGAAATATGCATTTGAAATGCTCTCAAACATCGTGTTATCCCGCTGTCGACTAATTGTTAACAGGTGAGTGCAATGCGTAATTGCAATTTGCGCAGCGTCATTCGGATAATTAAGTGAGTTTTAACTTGTGTGCACACACAATACGCTCGTGTCACATTGGTCATGGTAATGTCAAATGAAAGGCAATGAAGCACTTTAAATGCAAAACTCACAATTTGCCAGTCCAGTCGAGCCAGCCTGCCGAAATCATTTAACGAGCCTGCCAAATTGCCTTACGCCAAATGTTGGGGAAAGCTGTGGGGAAATGCACTTCCACAGTCGAATGTCAGGATGTCCAGCTCGTGTCAGGATGCATTGATTTATGTCCAGCCAGAAGTCGAAAAGGGGAGGAAAACAACATGAACAGGGAACGTAACTGTTATAAGTTTTATTTTAAAAATCACACTTTAACAGTTATTTTCTGATTTGTAAAGTAAAACTCAAAGAATAACTGTTATTTTTTGAGTTTTATAATAAAAGTTGACAAATAACAGTTATTCGTCGTGATCAAAATAAAACTCAAACTTGATTTATGGCGATTTTGTGGGTAAACGAAATTTTAAAAAAATATAGGTATAAAATATGCGCGGTTGCCTTTTTTAACAAATTTTTAGTAAGTTATAAAAAGCACGGTTATTATGTTTTTTTTAATTATTTCATTTTTTCAAAAATGTCAAGGGAATAACTGTTATTCATAAAAATCAAAAAATAACAGTTATTTTTTGAGTTTTATTATAAAAATCAAAAAATAAAAATCATTACGGATTTGTAAACTACAATGGCTAATAAAAATTGTGGTGTAATTAAAAAATTTTTAGGACCCTTCTAAGTGCGTGATTTTTTTGTATGAAAAATTTACAATAACAGTTATTTTCGTTCCCTGAACATGAATCTTCATTTGTGAATTGCATTTTATATGACTGCTCTCTGTCTGACATTCAGTCAAGTATTTTTGCGAACAAACATAAACAGGGATTTACAGACGCGGTGAAGATAATAGGAGTTTACACTGAAATAGCAAAATAAAAATAAAAAATAATTTTCAAATTACAAAAAAAATATATTTTATTATTATAAAATTGAATAATTTATTTTATTATAATAAATGTTATTTTCTCTTAACCACAGCTGTGACTGTTCATCCCCTCATATACATATGTTTCAATTAGTGCTCTACCAAAGGGATCCCAATCCCACCTTCAAGCTTAATTAAGGCAAGTGACCAGCTTTATGTTCAGCTTTATTTATATAAATCTACATATATGCAAATGCGAATGCGTGTTTTCTTGTGCAGTCGGCATAGCAACTTCATATGCAGGACGAGATCCCTGCTAATGGAATTCCCTCAGACAATCCGGAATTCATTCGACTGCGAAATTTCTTGTTTTGATATGTTTGTGTAAATGGAATTTTACAGTTGCCAGCACAGAAGACACTCTGTTTTGGCATAAATACTGGTTTCTGTACACTTCCTTCCCCACTCTCTCTTAATTATTTAATGGAGTTGTCGTCGGGTAAATTGTTTTAAGAATGCAATCAAATTTGCATAGTTGGAAGGTAAATATTATGGGAAGTAGAAACTTAAAACGTTAGGCTTATGGATATTGCATTTTTAAAATTAACAAAATAATTTTTTTTATTTACCGACAGTTCCAAAAAATTGTCAATAAAATTGAAGTTAATATTATTGAAATAATATTTGGTTGATTACATGGTAAATTTTAATGTCCAACAAAATATAGTTATTAAATATTAATACATTCATGGGTTTTGAAGAAATTTCCCTGCAGTTAACTATGAAGGTAACGTCTTCATAACTTCGTGTTATTTGCTTAATGAAATTCCCTCGTCAGCCAGGCACAGCTTGTGTTCCTCGTCTCTCGTCCTTGTCCCAGGCTCAGAGCCTTAGCTTATTGAAATGCTGAGAAGGAGGGGACCCCAACCACCCACTCCTTGAAGCCAATCCAACCCCAGGCCCACTTAAGTCATCCCCTTTTCAGCTACAACAATGCAAATATTATTCCTTGACACCAGCTGTAGAAGAGGCGACTTTGCCAGCTGCTGTCACAGGATCCCCCTGGTTATATATATATATCTGGGTTAGCTGAGGACTTCCCACTCCCCCACATCTTTCCATTCCATTGCTAATAACTTGTTGCATAACCAGAAATCCCCAATGCCTGCCATAAAGCACTTAATCAAGTTAATAAAAATTGATGGCTGGCACGCAAACAATTTGTTTTTTGACTGCCGAAAGGATGAGGGGAGAAATTGAGGAGGTGCTTTACTTAGTTTGGAATTATGAAATGTCAATTTAAAGTGTGTGACAAATTTGTTTGATTAATGGAAGTACTCCGTTGATACCATCATGCTGACTTTGAACGTTTTTTATGAAACTCTTTAATAGCAAAAGTATAAGAATAATATTGTTTTATTAATCGTATAATAGCAAACATTCCCTTTGGGCAATTAATCGATAACAAAACTGCACTTTCATAGCACTAATAGCTTTTTAGAGATAAGTTAACTTTAGTTTTCATCACCCTTCCAAGTTTGTGTTTTATATATAGGGTCAGTCCTTTTTCATGTTATTTATTAGTTTTACTTTACAATTTAGACGGAAAATGTCTGGAACTCGTAGCGGTTATTGTCAGAACTTGGCCTGGTTCATGCTGAAGATGGCTCTATATGGATCCTGGATACTGGGATTGTTTCCCTTCACGTTTGATTCGAAAAGAAAGCAACTGAGGCACTCACGATGGCTTTTTCTCTATGGCTTTATTGGGCATTCCTTACTCCTGTGCCTACTTTGCTTCAGCAAGTTTGAATCTAAAGAGCCAGGTAGCCTTGACTCTTTTCAACGTAATCCGATGCTTGCGCGATTACACCAACAATTCGGAGTCATCACGATTTTCTGCGCGATCTTTACGCACTTTATGAACCTTTGGGGAAGCAAGAAAGTTCAGGAGATTGCCAATGAACTTTTAATACTGGAGTATCGGGACTTTCATGGACTCAATATTAACAACTCACCCAAATTTTACAGTTGTGTGATTCAAAAGATTTTAACAATGATGTGCCAGAGCTTAATTCTATTTACGTTCTCTTTATTCCATGGAAATGGATTTTCTAAGATCTTTTCGTTTCTTAGCTGCCTGCCCCTTTTGGACCTCCAATTAATTGTTATGCGCTTTCAGATTGAAATCCTTTTCGTATACCGTTATGTGTTAATGATTAACAGAGAACTCGTTGACCTGGCGTCCAATATTCGCCTAAATCCCACCGCAAAATCCTCAAGAATTCGCGAACTGGCTGCCTTGTACAATCGTCTCTTGAAGTTAAATAAGAAAGTGGTAAAAGCCTTCGACTTGCAGTTGAACCTTATATTAGCGGAGTACTTAACTTACAACATTGTGATACTGTATTTCCTTATTGTGCTAGGAATTAGCCAGAACAAACAAAGTTTCTATTTTGTGGCTATCCCACAAGTAGCCCTTAATTTATGGGATTTTTGGTTAAATATAGTCGTCTGCGATATCACCGAAAAGGCTGGTGGAAAAACGTTAGCCATTCTGAAACTATTTAATGATCTTGAACACAAAGATGTCGAACTAGAGAGAAGTGTGAGTATATGCAAAGAAACTTAATTATATTTAAATAAATAAAACCTTTTTTCAGCAGTTGAATGAATTTGCATGGCTGTGCAGTCACCGAAAATTTCGGTTTCAGCTGTGTGGACTCTTTTCGATTAATTATAATATGGGGTTTCAAATGATCATTACCAGTTTTCTTTACTTGGTCTATTTAGTGCAATTTGATTATATGAATTTGTGAAATGTTACTAGCTTTGATAAATAAATGGATGTAAATATCACTATTTCAAAACGTCATTTGCAGTAATATAGAATGTACATAAACTGCTTAAAAATACATTTTTGCTACTATTTTTCCTTCTCGAATAATTTTCTATTTAAGTTGAAAGAGGAGCAACAGCGACAGCCAAATATAAAATGGAAGAATTTCCACATGGGAGATTTCCGTTGATACCATCATGCTGACTTTAAATATTAGTTTATGAAACTGTGTTATGTCAAAAAAATTATGTTGCTTCATTATTCGTATAATAGTAACCATCAGCTTTGCATTTTAATCGATAATAGAACAGCGCTTTAATAACATTAATTGCTTTTTAGAGATAAGGTAACTTTAGTTCTCATCACCCTTCCAAGCTTGTGTTTTATATATAGGGTCAGTCCTTTTCCTTGTTTTTCCTTAGTTTTACTTTACAATTTAGACGGAAATGTCTGGAACTAGTAGAGGTTTTTGTCAGAACTTGGCCTGGTTCATGCTGAAGATGGCTCTCTATGGATCCTGGATACTGGGATTGTTTCCCTTCACATTCGATTCGCAAAGAAAGCAACTGAGGCGCTCACGATGGCTTTTTCTCTACGGCCTTATTGGACATTTTTCACTTTTGTGCCTACTTTGGCACCACAAGTTGGAATCTAATGATCCAAGTGAACTGCATGCTATGCAGCGTAATCCGTTGCTTATGCAAATACAGCAACAATTTGGATACATCACGATTCTCTGTGCGATCGTTACGCACTTTATGAATTTTCGGAGAAGCCACAAAGTTCAGGATATTGCCAATGAACTTCTATCACTGGAGTATCACGAATTTCATGGCCTAAATATAAAAAATTATCCGAAATTTAACTGTTGTATAATACAAAAGTCTTTAACAGCAATTTGTCAGAGCTTAATTCTATTTACGTACTATTTTTGGCAAGAAGATAGATTCTCGAAGATCTTGGCTTTCCTTCGCTGCCTGCCACTTTTGGACGTCCAATTACTTGTTATGCACTTTCAGATTGAAATCCTTATGATATATCGTTATGTGTTGTTAATTAACGGAGAACTCGTGGACGCCAGAGACAGTATACAGCTAACTCCCACCGCAAAGTCCTTAAGAATTCGCGAACTTGCTGCCTTGTACAATCGTCTCTTGAAGCTGAACAAAAAAGTGGTAGAAACCCACGACTTGCAGTTAAACCTTATATTTGCGGAGTATTTAACTTACAACATTGTTTTAATATATTTCCTTATTGTGCTTGGAATTAGCCTGAATGAGCAATTTATCTATTTTGTGGCTATCCCACAACTAGTCATCAATGTATGGGACTTTTGGTTAAATGTTATTGTCTGCGATATTACCGAAAAGGCTGGTGAAAAGACTATAACAATCCTGAAGCTATATACTGATCTTCAGCACAAAGATGTCGAATTAGAGAGAAGTGTAAGTATATGCAATCAAATTAAATTTTATTTAAATAAATTTTAAATCTTATTCAACAGTTGAATGAATTTGCATGGCTGTGCAGTCACCGCAAATTTCGGTTTCAGCTGTGTGGACTCTTTTCGATAAATTATAATATGGGGTTTCAAATGATTAATACTAGCTTTCTTTACTTGCTTTATTTGGTACAATTTGATTATATGAATTTGTGAAATGTTACCAAATTTGATAAATAACTAAGTGACATTAAATAGCATATATTTCAAAATTTTACTGCGGACTTTAAATGTTTATGTTTATGGAACTTTTATGGGTATTGTCAAAAAGTTAAGAATGATATTGCTTCATAATTTGTACAATAGCAACTGTCCACTTTGGATATTAATCGATAATAGAACAGCGCTTTAATAACACTAATAGCTTTTTAGAGATAAGTTAACTTTAGTTGTCATCATCCTTCGAAGCTTCGGTTTTTTCATATAGCTCCCGACTTTTACCTTGCTTTTTATTTAGTTGGACCAAACAATTTATACGGAAATGTTTCGACCTCGTCGCGGTTTTTGTCAGAACTTGGCGTGGTTTATGCTAAAGACAGATCTCTATATATCCTGGCTACTGGGATTGTTTCCCTTTACTTTTGATTCGCGAATAAAACAACTGAGGCGGTCACGATGGCTTCTTCTTTATGGAATAATTGGGCATTTTTCCCTGCTGTATCTAATTTTTCTCCGCAAGTTTCAATCCGAAGAGCGAAGTAACCTGAATGCTTTTATGCGAAATCCGTTGCTGGGGCAAATTCACCAACAATTTGAATTCATCACGATTCTCTGCGCGATTATTACGCACCTTATGAACTTTTGGGGAAGCAACAAAGTTCAGGATATTGCCAATGAACTTATAACACTGCAGTATCAGGATTTTGACAGTCTGAAGATAAAGAACTATCCCAAATTTGACTGCTGTGTGATACAAAAGTCTTTGGCTGCGTTATTTCAAAGTGTAATTCTATTTACTTTCGCTTTAACGCAAGGAAATGGATTCTGGAAGATCTTGGAGGTCCTTCGCTGCCTTCCACTTCTGGACCTTCATTTAATTATAATAGGCGTTCACACTGAAACCCTTTTAATATATCGCCATGTGATGTTTATTAACGGGGAACTTGTGGACCTGGCTTACAATATACAACTAGATTCCACCACAAAGTCTTCAAGAATTCGCGAACTCGCCGCCTTGTACTACCGCCTCCTAAAGTTACATAAAAAAGTGGTAAAAGCCTACGACTTCCAGTTGACCCTTATTTTTTCGATATACTTAACTTACAACATTGTGTTAATCTTTTTCCTTATTGTGCTCGGAGTTAGTTTGAACCAGCAGTATATATACTTTGTGGCTGTCCCACAGATTATCCTAAATGTGTGGGATTTTTGGTTAAATATTGTCGTGTGCGATATAACCGAAAAGGCTGGCAGAAAAACTATAAAAATCTTGAAATATTTTACTGATCTCCAGGATAATGATGTCGAACTGGAAAGAAGTGTGAGTATATGCATAGAAATTTAGTTATATCTAAATAAATAAAAACATTCTTTTTTATTTTTATTAGGTGAATGAATTTGCGTGGTTGTGCAGTCACCGCAAATTTCGGTTTCAGCTGTGTGGCCTCTTTTCGATTAATTACAATATGGGTTTTCATATGATCATTACTAGTTGTCTTTACCTAGTTTATTTGGTTCAGTTCGATTATATGAATTTGTGAAATATTTTTTATAATGATTCGTAAATGAAATAATAAAGTATTTATAAGACATTTTTAAAATTTTTCTCCTGAACTCCTTGAAAATATATTTTCCCACTACTTTAACTACTCGATAACAGTTTCCCATTTAGGGAACGACTTGTTCTCCATAAATTCGAGAGCAGTGCGTGTGGCATTATTATTTTCCTGCCAGGATCGTGACATCCGCGACATATACTTTCCCCAATTCGTGAGTGATACGTGATTGGAAATAATTTAAGCTGCTGCGATAAAGCAATTTGCGCAAATTTAAGATGAAAGAGGCGACAGACGGGCAGCAGCCACAGCAAAACACACATAAAATGGAAGCATTTTCACAACTGTCATTGAAATGTCAACATAAATCTACTGACATCCAGTGCCAGTTTTTCTCTCCTTCTGGTTCTCGTCCTTCTCCTTTCTCCCTTCTCCACTTCTCCATTTCTCTGCCGCTTTCCCCAGCGACTTTTGCGCGCTGCGTGACGTAAATGCTGATGAATATTTCTCATCTGTTGGCTGTGGTTCTTTGGATGAAGTGGGTGGATGTGGAGAATCTGAAGGATATGGCTAGTGGTGCGGTGCCTTCCCTGCAGTTTTGTTATATGTCCTGGATAGCTGGCTTTCAGCTCATCTGCACACTGAAAAAATAGCTTTAAGATATTCGGAAATAATTACTATTAAACTGTTTCCCTTTTCCTAATTAAAAATATTTTTTAATTATTTAAACAATTTTCTGATAAATGTCTCTGAATAATTTTAGTTTACTTAATATGTATATCTTTAAAAATAACAACAAAGCTAACCAATTAATCTAAAAGTAGTTCAATAAATTCAGAAAATTGATAAATATTTAATTATTAAAAAAGTCTGACATCCAATAACTTATTAAATATAGCTTGTGATAATATTTTAATTATTTTTCCAATCTTTTTGGCCAGTGTAGCCGCATCGCTAGAGAGAGAAAGCGGGCTGTGACTCCCAACAGCGAAATGGGCTTGTCAGTTTTGATGAACTATCTTTGGCTGCTCAGCTCGTCCTGTTTCGCTGCTAATGCTAATGCCTCTGACAGAGATCTATGTGCGGTCTGATTCATTCGAGTCCCAGTATTCTCAGTAGCAGACTCGGTTTTCTTTGGGACTTCAGACTACAGCCTCCAGACCCCAAGATGAGGTCACGTACAACTGCGTCGACGTCCGCTTGTTTGGCTTATTAAATGTTCAGTTGCCCTGCCCTCGAATTGCAGACATTCTGGGTCTCGTCCTGCCCCCTGCATTTAGTATTAATCTGGCTTAAATGTGATTAATGTCTGGTTTCTGCAGCAAAGGTCGTGCGGTCGGACGAAAGTCTGAGATAAACTAAGCCTGGTTTAGCAAGTGTAATCAATATTGCCATTAGCATTCAGAATTCAATTAGGAGTTGTGTGTCTGTGGGGCTTTTGGGCATTTTCCAGATGTCACTGATAAATTTTAATTGGGTTAGAGAAAGCTAGTTTGCGGTTGCTACTTAAAGTCATTAAATTGTTATGCGTCTGCTGGTAACCACTTGTAAGGATAATGAAAATCAATTGTATTAAGCTGTTATTAGCCTTTAATTCAGAATTTAATTGTGTTTCAGACAGCTAAAAATTAGTGACACCTTTGAAATTATAATTCGGGATTATAAATTATTTTTTAGGAAACTCAACTTTAAAACTTATGCTGTTATTAGCCTTTAATTCGAAATTTAATTGTGTTTAGGAAAGCTTAAAATTACTGACACCTTTGAATTTATAATTTGGGATTATTTAATAGCAATATCATCGCTAAAGTTACGTTATAACTGTCCCCATGAAACCCATTTAATATTCTAACATACCCAATAGCTGTCTCAATATTCAGCCAATCGCCTTGGGTGGGATTACCACCCAAGCCGAGATTTCCCTCCCAAAAGGAAAACCCCTCTTCGATTGCACCTTTGATGGCGCCCATAACTTAGTGGCAATATCTTATGCCCTGAGGTCACAAACAGCAACATTCATTAGCTGTTTGCTGGAGCCGCTGGGTTTGCTTTAAAGTTGATTGCTTGCCAGCTGCCGCTGTGCATTTTGTGGTTTAATTAAAGCCCAGGAATGGGGATACGTAATACGTGTAGTTTTGGGGCGTGGGGAAGTGGCAGACAGGCGGCAGCTGCCTTAAACCAAATTACACTAATTGGGTTACCATATGACAGGGCAATGCGTCGACTGTGACATTTGTTTGCCAGGGCTTGCCAATGCTTGCATTATGTCCGCCCACATCCTTCGCCCGCACAAACACAAACACACAACAGCCCACACAAACGAGTGGTGTTGGTATGCACTGAGAACTCAAATCGATCTGAAGGATTAAAGACCGTTTTATCATCCGCATGTTAAATTTTAAGTGAGGGTTAAGCTACGAAAATGTATGGGAAAATGGAGCTAATCCCCTCCCCACTCGGGTGAAAAGTTAAAGAAAACTGGGTATTCAAAAAGTATGCATCAAGAAATTTGTTTCGCAATCCTTCTAGAAAAAAATACTGGTTAAAAGTGTACTTTAAATTTAACAAGCAGACGAGAAAACGGACCCATGTTCATTAACGCGAATTCTTAAGGATAATTAAAAAATTCTACAGTATCTTATTATATCTAAACAGGGAATTTCAACCCACAATTCATACATTTTTAGACCTCGATTTTTTTCCGAGTGTACCATAAGCCCAGTCGTCAGTAAGTCCTTCACTCCACTGAGCGTTTGCATTCGCAGTTGCCAGCTTGTAATAAGCTGCAGAATCATTTTCCGCATGCCGGCTGCTTTGACAGCTGCAATACCACACATGGCTCAAAGGGTCGAAAGGGGCAGGGGGCAGACGGAGGAAAAAGGGGCAAAGGACTTGGGGGAGTCGGTTAACTGATGTCGACCGCACTCGAAATGGAACCCAACGGAATCTGGCTTAGTTAATTGAGTGGACAGCAGGCAGGTCTTTAAAAGCCGGCTTATATTACAAGGAGAATTAGGATCGGTTATGGGATTATGTTAGAGTACAGTTTTTATTTAGAAAAATAAATTGTAAATTAATATTTGGTAACTCTCAAACAAATATTTTATTTATTACCTTGAGCGCTGTACTTTTTGAATTCAAAATGTGTTTTTCTAAAGAGACATTTATTCCTTTGGTTTTCCGCGTTTGAATTTGAAAAGTTCCTAATTTGGTTTGTCTTAAATAGTTTTAAATTAATGCAAGAAACAGAAACACGTAAATTTAACGTAGTTTTAGATAAACCCTAAGCTTCAACAGCAGGCTCCACGGACAAGGTCCTGTTGCTCCCATTCCCAACGGGGATCATGATGTCCTCCAGCATTTGGTTTAGGGACTCGGAGCCCAGAGCATAACCCTCCCTTTTGGCACTGCGATTGTGCATGGCATCTATGTAAACGTGACTTGAGTTCTGCTCACTGCTGAAAATGTGCTGCAGGACACTGCTGATCCTTTCAGACCCCAGGATCTTGGGTTCCTCCGTGGCCAATCCCTCGATAGCCGCCGTTTCCCGCTGGCTAGCGATCCTGGTAGGCGACTCCTCTTCATTGGCAGTCTTTAAGAAACGTATCCCCTGCGCAGAGGCCAAAACTCCAACCGAAAAAGAGGTAAGCCACTGAGCAATTGAAATCATTGAAAATGGTTTGTCGGTTTGTCTGTTATTATGATTCGAAACGGAATTTTGATGGGACTTTCTGGTGTTTGAAAGTTTGATGCGATTGCTATGACTTGAACTCTTTTTTAATTTTATCTTTTTAAAATGTATATATATTTAAAAAATAGGTAAATTTAAAAATATACAAAATTGTCTAGATAATTGTCTTCGAGCAAATGGGTTTTAATTTTAATACGCTATAAAAATTTCTTTCTTATTTTTCACAATTTCCTAGCACTTAAATAATAATAATTAATTTGTTCCGTTTAATGTTTTAAGTCTATTGCACAAAGTAATTAAATATTAAGGCGAATTTAACCCTTAAATATTTCTTATAAATATAGCTAGAAAAAATCCAATATCGCATATCGAAATGTCGCTGCGATACTGCCACCGCTAGTCAGCTGTTAACGCCCACAGTTCGACCGATGTGGCAACCCTGGTCTGCCAACAAAAATAAACATTTATTTTTTCGCCCAAGTTCCCGGAGTTTTTTGCCCAATTTAAAGCCATGCTGCCGGGCGTTGGAGTGTTCGGAACGGGCGAGATAGCCAATGTGTTGGTTCCCCTGCTGCGGGAGAAGGGATTCGAGGTGCGGGCCATTTGGGGCAGGACCCTGAAGGAGGCCAAAGAGACGGCGGCCACGCAGAACGTACAATTTCACACGAACGTTATTGATGACGTTCTCCTCCGAAAGGATGTGGACCTGGTGTTCATCGTCTGCCAGCCCTTCCTCCACGCCGAGATCTCGGTGAAGGCTCTGGGTATTGGAAAACATGTCGTGTGCGACAAGCCGGCGGGTTTGCACCAGCAGGATGCCCTCAAAATGGTGCGGGCCTCGCAGTATTATCCCACCCTGATCTCCCTGGTCAATCATCCGCTGAGGTTCCTGCCCGCCTTCACCCACATGCGTCGCTGCCTGCAGGAGGAGCTGATCGGCTCCCTGGGCGACGTGGTGCTCATGGACGTCCGCGTGCAGATGGGCACCCTCTTCCCCGAGAAATACAACTGGATGTGCGACGCGCAGATGGGCGGCGGTGCCTTGAATCTCGTGGGTTCCGTGGTGGATTTGGTCACCTTCCTGCTGCAACAGCAGGCCATTCGGGTGCATGGGGTACTGCGATCCTACACCAAGACCACGGCGGCCATCAATGGCATACGACAGATTACGGCGCCGGATTTCTGCAACTTTCAAATGGAACTGGCCAGCGGAACTCTGGTCACGGTGGCTCTCCACAGTCACACAGTGCCTGCCAAGGCCTTCTCCCAGGAAGTGCTCATCTATGGCAGCAAGGGACACCTGGTGGTGCGAGGCGGCGATCTGTTTGTGCTCAAGGAGGGCCAACCCAAAGAGGAAGCTGTCTACGTGGACGTTCAGGACTTGCACTTCGCCACCAATAACTCCTTGCTGCCGAGACCCTATATCAAGGGACTCTGCAAGATGGTGGGCGCACTGAAGGAGGCCTTTGGCAGCAAGGAATCCTCGTGGGTTAAGGCCCCCGTTTCCACAGCCGCCACCTTCGAGGACGGCCTCTATGTCCAGGCTGTGGTGGAGGCCATTCGGAAATCCAACGAAACCAGGCAATGGCAAAGGGTGCAGTTGTCCACCGACAGTCCTTTAAATCACGATCAGATCATCCGATATGCACGCATGTCCACTATGTAGGGAATCTCGGTCTTAAGTGCAATAACTAAAGGATTCCAATATATATTTTTTTATATAATATACGTGTTTAGCTGTAAGCATTCAAAGGATCGCGGCTTTTAAGCCTGCGTCACCTCCATTAATGTATTTAACTTATTTTGTAACGCATCTGCATTTTGAAACTAATAAAATTGATTTGTTAGACAAGGATATTATTTATTTTTTGTGACAATATTGTACAATTTTGTATCATAAAATAATTTTGTACCATTTCTTTAACCTTTTGATTTATCTCAGGAACTTTTTTTTTGCTTAGGAACCTTTCCAACCAAAATATCAAACAAAAAGTATCAAATTTACCAAACATTTTATTACGAAATCAAAAAATCTAAAACATTTGCTATACAAACTAAACATAATCGGCCATATACAAATAATTCGAACTTAGGAATACAATTAAAACTAAGCACTAAAGAGACAAAACAAAATGTTGATCACAAATGTATCTTTGTTGCGGACCTTATGAACGTAAATGATTATTTAAGATTTGGCATAGCTGAAAAATCCAGCTCAGTTGATGAAGTTTACAGGGCAAGATGGAAACTGGGGTATAAAAAGTGTGTATTAATTGATCTTCCATATTTTCTTTTTTTTTGTTTTTGGTATATCAGCACTTAAACTGGAATAAGCTACCCTAAAGCCTTCTTGCATACAATATTACAGAGAATATTTAAATAAATACCTAAGCTAGTTGATAACATCATTATGGAAAAGGTAGATCAAAAATAAAAACACAAGAGGGAAAAGATATAAATTCAGTTTCGAACTTAAAACAAGGAGAGATGGAAAGACACCCGACTATGTACAGAAGAAGTATTAAAACTTAAGTGTAGGATCGCAGATATCCTATCGTCTGTTGAGCTTGTGCCACAGAGTTATGATGGTCAGGACGTGCATAACTGCAATTACGGTTCCCATGAGGATCATGCAATCGGACATGTGCACATCCGAGATCATCATGTACTTGAGAAAGACCTTTGGGCTGCGGAAGTGACAGTACATCGCAGTCTCCGGGCACTCCAGAAATGGTCGATCCATGCCATAGATGGCATTCAAAGCCCCGTGGAATCCGGCCCGGAAATAGCTCAAGTGCCACATCCATCGGAAGAGGGGCGTGATGTCAATGTAGCGTGTGCAGAACCCGAAAACGGAGAACATCACCGCCAGAATGGGTCCCAGAAATACGGCAAGCTAAAGGTAGGAAGATCAATCATTATTAATTTGACTTGTGGTTAGTTGGTGGTTGAGAATAGAACCCACCTTAGTCGGCAGCGTGGCTCCCACGAAAAAGCCCCAGGCCTGAGCACTTAATGAGGCCATAATGCCCAGCAGCATAAAGTAATAGATCCGGAATGAATCCACGACATCATTCCCGGTGAGATGGACGCTTATGATGATGTACATGGCGGTACAGAGACTCTGTAAAAATAATATAGAAAATTATTAGAAAGTTCATAGAATAATTATGGAAAAAAAATCCAGAAACTGACAGAGCTTAACTAATCTATCTATATTAATTCTGATTTAGATATCATTTACTATTTATGATAATTAATATCATTATTAATTGTATTGATATTACCATTAATTAATGACAATTGTAAGATAAATGGATTGGTTGTCACTTTCTTATCTATAGATAGATAGATATATAGACAGTTCTATAGGACTGACATATTTTTGTTCCCCCTAATTATTATGGAATTTCAACTTTCAGAGTCCCAGGTAATTTACAAAGAAATGTTTGCCTTTCATAACTCCGTCAATCCAAAGAAACATTAGGGCCAACAAAAGAATTTCTTTGTATTAGAAAAATATTAAAAATTTCTCTCTACACGGCATATGGATGCCGGAATACTGGAAAAAATGATGCAAAATTACAGGCAGTCGGTAGCCGTCAAGCTTACGCGGTTCTGACACGCAAATGAAACCCAAACTCGAACATCAGCGATTTCACATCGTTAATTTGACTTAATGACCGAATGGCAATTCATTATACCACTGCCACCTACGAGAGCTTAGCTTTAAATGATGATTAATGATCGGGCTTGGCTAGGCGATTTTTCAATATTCGCATGGCTTACCTGGAAGGGTATTTCGAAGGAGATCAGCGAGAGGAAGTAGGGACCCAGCTTGTACCAGCGATTGAAGTGCTCCCGTGTCAGCATGTCAATTTCCAGCGGAACTGCGAATAAAATTAATTGATAAACGCGATTCAGATTCCGATTAAATTCGATACGATGTGAAGTGTGCGCACGAAGGTGAGGGCATTATACATATGTAGGTCAGGTCAGTAAACCGAAACCGGTAAAGATCGACTCCCTCAGCACCTCTGAAATCTCCTGTCTGCAGTAATTTATTGTAAAGAGATTCGAGAATCGCCCGCCAACCGGTTTTATTATACAATAATCTCAAGCTTGTGTCTCTTGTCCGTATCTCTTGTACTTTTATAATTATTTACTTAGTGGTTTTAAGGTTCGTTTTTTTTGGGTGGGAAGGGGATCTCAATTTTTGGTAATTTACATGGAAATTATAAATGACAAAGTGGTTCGACTAAGATCTCTGATCGCTGATCAAATTTAATACGGCCTTGCCTCGGAGGTTAATGTTCTTAATTATTTTGTTTGATTTAGTAAATATTTACAAAAAGGGAGCGTAATAATATTTTTGAAGCTAAAGCAATTTTACTAAAGTCAAAAGGTTTGTTTGTTGTTTTCAACAAGGGGTTCAAATAGTTCAAGTTGTTACATAAAAACAATTTAATAATACAAAATTTTATTTTTAATGAGCTTATGTACAAGGCTAAAATTATAAACATATTTTTCATGTAAGATAAAATCTCTACCGCTTTCAAAATGCTAAAATTTAAGTTTATTTAATATCAAATGTTTGCTCAAATCGCAAAGTTTAAGTCTGTAGACTAAACCCAGCTAATGATCCACTATCTAAGCTCATAATCTTGTTTCCTTTTTGCCAATTAAGAGACACAAAAACTTTTGTGCAAATGCCAACAAAATTATTGGCTAATCCGCATTCCGAAAAAAAATAAATAAGTAGATAAAGTAAAACAGTTGGCAGCTTAGAATGCGGCAAGTTAGAGACAAAGTAAAGTTGCCAAAATAAATAGGAATTGCGCAAGAGCAGCTGCAGTCTTTTGCCCAAATTTGGCGACAAATTTTTGCATAATTTTGCTATTGAATGGAAAATGGCAGAAAATAATCGAGAACCACTTGGAAAAATGCATGGGGTGGGGTGGAAGTACAAGTATCTTGGGGACTTGAGTACCCAGGCAGCTACTTACATGTCAAGACCACAGCCATTTTGCCGGTGTAGACCAAGAGCAGAGTGGAACCATAGAGATAGACGTAGTTTCCCAGCACACTCTGGGCATTGTTGCCCACGTTCATGTACAGATAGCCAAAGACGACTCCAATGAAAATGTGCGAAAAGATGCGGGCCAGCAGAAGAAACTGAAAGAGAGATACGAGGCATTAAGATATATGTTCGACTCACAGGTGCGGTGAATTTAATAATGTTTTGGAGTCAGGTAATTTGACTTCCCCTATTTATCGTATTAGAAACTTGATTTTGATAGAGGTTATAGAAATTGTTTTGTACATAACAGAAAATAGCATAAATAAATAGTAATGTTATATGATGCTAATATAAATATTTGATAAATCATTCACATCGTTGTAAGATCCTTGTAAATATTACGCCTTAAATTGTTATTGACTTTAATTATAGTTTGTAAATGACAATTTAAGGGTTGGTTTCACAAGGTATAGCTAATATTTGAAGTGTCGATAAACTGACAAGTGCCATAAAAAATAGTAAGCTTTTAGCTAGGCGATGGGAAAAAGCATCTTAACGATGTAACTGACCTATTTCATTAGGTCAAACTTATATCATAATTTTCCTTATGGAATACATTTAAAACAAATTATTCTATAAAAACAGGGCTATAAAAAATGAGAGATAATGAGGCTATTAAATCAATATGCAAATATAACTTGCAAAATTTCAAGGCTCCGAAACTTTATAGCTAGTAATTTGACCGCTGTTGTGCCTTTGGCCAAGCAATAGGCAAACAAATGTTCGTGCCGCAGTGGATGTTGGTCATTAGAACACTCTAAAACCAAAATCTATGTGAAGGCTGTGTGGTGGCATTACTTTTTGAGTTACGACCCGCTCGAGTGGGTCCGAGATTCTCGGTGTCGCCGTTCGTCCAGTTTCTGTGACACTGACAAGTCAATATCAATACACAGAGGTGCTAAAAAGTCCACTATTTGAGTGCAGTGTATATGCAGATCCATATTAATCGTGTGCAGTCACATAAAGATGACTTAACCTGCTAATTGGTCGTCACACAGACTTTTCAATTTCACATTTTAAACATATTCCAAGTGCTAATTGTGCACATTCAAATGATAAACGTCGGGCATCAATCTCGCAGGCCTCTCTGATTATTTATTTATTTTTTATGGTAAATATCTGAGGCTTTTGCCCTGAGTCATTTATTTTCTGGTAGTGCCAAGAGGCAAATAAATATTTAAACGAGCTGAAAAATGTGTCAAATGTAGAACAACACGCGGTAGTAATTGCCTCGGAAAAATCTTATTCAGTTGTGAAAAATTAATTAACACAATTGTGTTTAGTTTGTATTATGAAAAAAGCCTCGACTTACAATAAAAAAATATTACTACACAAAATAGTGCTTATAATGATTATATGTTAAGGCATAAACCTTCAGCCATTTCCATTTGAAAATTCACCAAGTGCCCTATTATCTGCCTCATGCATGATCTTATATCATTATGCCATTAAAAGCATGCATAAGTCCCATTTTCTTTTGATCTTTTTTTTTAGCAAAATCCGAAAGCGTGGCAAAGTGGCCAACCTTCCCAAAAAAAAGTTATAATACTTAATGTACGGCCACAAAATGGTAATGTGCAACTGAGACGTAATTACTCACAGAAAAAAATTAAACAAAAAATAAAAAGCGGTTTTTAAGAGATTAGCCATTAAGAATTACGCAGAAAACGAGATCAGCAGTAACTGAATTCACTTTTTTCGAGGACGCCGCACCAATTACCAAATCAACTTGACAGCCCATCAACATTTAACGCCACTGCCCTAAACCGGCTTTG